TGAGACAACAACAAACAAAAAACATAGGCCTACCATTAAAGGCCGTGCTTGCCCAGGTTCTGCACGATCCTCTTCAATAATATCCTCTGTTTCTCAATCGGGCTCAAACTGATAAGCGATATTAACGACGCCTTTGTTTACAATACAACCGGAGCACATGCCGCTATGCTGAGGGGCGGGACGTTTAGACGCGTGCTAGAGGCGGTTTAGCCAATCACAACACACTGGGCTAGCTAACCAATCAGAGCCCATCGCCTATTTCTGAGGGAGGGGCTTCATAAAAGAAGGAAATTGATCAGCGCGTTTCTCAGAGAAGGGACAGAGCGGTGTGGAATAAAGGTAAATTATGTGAAAAATAATGCGTTTTTAAAAAAATGAAGCATTAACACATGTTAGACTGCACCCCATAAACACAATCAAGCCTAGAAAACAACCACTGAACCACCCCTTTAACAAAATTGATCTTTCGTTGGGAGTTTGATTGACAGGCGATGTAACCAATCATAACCCTGAATCTGCCATTCTGTCTGACATACAAACCAGACAAGAGAGTAGATTAACGTCGGTGGACTTGAACTTCAAAAATGGTGTGTGTTGACTTCTTTCTGCAGTTGAAACAAGATACCTTCTGATGTTCATTCATGTTTATTTCGTGCTATAACTAGTAAAGAGGAAAAGATGATCGCTTCATGTGCCGCTTGAACTGAGGTGCTATAATGATCTGTCACGACCACATTAAAGAGCTGCAAATGGTTTTTGTTTTAATTTATTTAAAAAATGACAACATTTGAAAGCTGAGACTTTGTTTCATACCAAAAGTGATCTGCTCTGTCTTGTCTGTCGGCATGCTGTCAGTGTCTCTTTCCGTAGCGATATATTTTTCAGTGCGTGAGAACATGATATGAGAGTGCCATAGCTTGTCGGACATAGCAACAGTAACAAAGGGGGGCGGGTCTTTGCGAATGGTCAATTCATTGTTAACAGATATGACATTAATATACAGTCTGAGAAAATAGAGAAAAAATATTGATTTTTACACATTTTTGTCCGGTCATATGCTCTCAAAAATGATAAAAAAAAATTTCCTGTTTTAATTGGGTCTTTAAAAATGTGATGCTCACGGAGTGATAAATAACTGCTAGATGTGTTACAACTGTCAAACAAATCTGTCTAGCACTTTTACATAAACCAATGATTGAAAAATAGTGCAAGAATGCTGTGTGAACAACCATCAGAAAGCATAAAAAATTCTATAATTCACCATATTTTTGCGTAGATGCTAATTTGCTTTAAATAAGTCAAATGAGCTCTATTTCAGGTGTGCTGATTTGAAGGTGTTTAACTTTCATTATCCCGCGTCTCAGTGCAGGTAGAAGTTGCGTTAGTGCTGAACGGGCTGATGTAAATGCTCGATTGAGCTGCAGCTCAGGCATCAGAGATCAAAGCACATTGATTTCATTGGAGATATAAGAGAATAGAGATGAGATTTCCAACCAAGAATACAAGTTTGAGTACACAAGAACGGATCGACTGAAGATATCAGTGCTGATCATTGCCTTGTCTGGTGGCTGACTCAACTTTTCAAACTTTCACATTAGTGTAATACATGACAGATTTATCAGTCTATGGTCTGTGCATTAGATGGAACAATAACATAACATCAGATGCATACATTCTCAGTAAAAAAGGTACAAAAGTTGTCACTATAAGTACCCTTTCAAAAGGTAAACCTTTGTACCTTATTTACCCCTAAAGGGTGCATATTAGTACCTTAAATGTACCTATTAGTAGCTTAAGTGTACATATTAGTACTTAAATAGTAGATATTAGTAACACTAACACTTCAGTAACAGCTTTTGTACCTTTTTTTTCCGGAGAGTGTATTGTACACATTAATGTCTCAAAACATCAAATCTGATTAACTGGCTTTAAGTGGTTTTCTTTAAGTCAGGGGCTACAGGTTTGATATTTATGATTCCAATTAAGTTCCTGAATTTGAATTGTGTGAACAGGATACAGAATTGCAATTCAAATTTTAATGTAAGGATATTCAAATGAGCTGAAGTTCAAAGAAGTCCATTTGGCTGTGACTTTAAAGATTGAATGTTCTTGTTTGAAAAAATTGAAAATAACAATAAAAAAAGACATGAGGTTGATAGATAGATAGATAGATAGATAGATAGATAGATTAGATTGAAGAGCTCCATCCATCTCTCTTTCCTTCTTTTCTCTATCTCAGACTTCCAGACGTTAAACTCTTCTTGAGAAGCAGGAAGGAGGCATCAGCCAGCCGTCATCATACTGCAAACGTTCTGAGTCAGTGGTAGAAGCCCAGATGTCAGTCAGTCAGTCAGTAAGCATTTCAACCATACAGCTGAGCTACCTGAAAAAAAACCTTGCAGCTTATAGAAATTCCTTCCTCGGAATAAACAATGACATTTTCTGCAGTAGCGTAGAGGCACGTTTGTGCTCAGTCTTTTAAAGAGCAGAGTTGTGAGGGACAAATAAAAAGTGTTTCTATAAACGTTGACCTGAGGGCTAAATTAATCAGGATTGAAAGCGGGTTCTGCTCCAGAAGACCTTGGAAAGAGCTGGAGGTTGACTACATCACTGACGCACACAGCACATTTCACCTTGAGAGAAACTCAATTCTAGTTTATGAGCTTCCTGGGAAGATTACATGAAAGAAACTCAAATGAAGATTTAACAAAGAATTTGTTAAAGAAACAGTCTATCTATCTATCTATCTATCTATCTATAGATTTATTTATTTTGCTAAATATAATAACAGTAATATTGTGAAATTGCATTTAAGTTAAATTTAGAATTTTATGATAATATACCTGTTTTCTGTAATATATATTACAATGTAATTAAGAAGAACAGCAGTTATTCAAAATAGAAATCTCTTGTAACATTATAAATGTCTTTACTGTCATTTTTGATCAATTTAATGCTTTCTTGCTGAACAAAAGAATTAATTAAAACAATCTTACTGACCTGAACTTTTCAACAGTCTGAGGAGAAAAACTTGTTTCTTTAGCAAATAATGAATATTTTCTTTTTTATACTACGATACTACGATAATTTGTACCATATTTATAAATATTTACATGATACATGGTACCTTTTTGCAAGTGTAATGGACTATTGATATCACTCTGTTCCTGGGATCTCATAAAAAACACTTAAAACACACACACACAAGAAAAGAAAGGAAAAGAAAAGAAAAGAAAAACACATGAACAGGACAATCAACTGGTTGCTACGCTTTGAAGTTTTCACTACTAAGAGAAGCTGTAGTTTAGCTCAGACTACAGTTAGCAGTGGTTTTGTAATTCTCTCCATGTCTCTGACTGTATTTCTTTCTGTTTTTCTTCTGTCTCCGTCTCTCTCTGTTTGTTTTTCTCCTCAGCCCTCCTGAAGGAGAAGAATCACCCGTCACCTCTCCAGACCCCCAGAGACAAGAGTGGTTCGCTCAGTATTTCTCCTTCTGACTTTTGCGATTAAAGAGCATGTCGACCAAACCAGACAAAAAAGTGATATATTATTTAACGACACATCCTTTCATTTGTTCTTTTTTTTTCTCCCCTCTGTGAATGGGTTTGTTGTTTTTACAGTGATGATAGGTATGTTTGACGTTTCATTTACTGCCGTTTCTATAGAGTGATGCATACGCTGCTAATTACTATTACTAAATTACTATTACTAAATTACTAAAACAACAACAGTATTGTCTCCTCTGGGGTATGTTTGACGTTTCATTTACTGCCGTTTCTATAGAGTGATGCATACGCTGCTAATTACTATTTGTTAAAAGAGAAAAAACAACAACAGTATTGTCTCCTCTGTATCTAATTTTAGAATGCCACCGTAATGACTTTGTTACAGCTGCATTATCAATTTTGGTAGGATTAAACTGTTTGTATGGATGTCTCAACACAGATATAATGATGTCTCACTAATTTTAAAATAAATGCATATTTTATATTTATATTACTGGTGTATGCGTAAGAATAAATAATTATTGTGACATTTAATGAAGTGTGTCTGTTATGTGAGTCAACTTTTACCATTCAAGGAACCAAAAGCAAAGAACATTTGATTTAAAATGCCTGTATTTTCATATACATCAACACATATTGCTCTGAAACAAGGAAAAATAAACACTTTTATTGTCATTTGACTTTTTCTTTATATAAGAACAATAACCCTAATAATGACAAATCGATAATTGGAGATTAGAGGTGAGTTTATTGGTTTCTTGTTTTATATATATATATATATATATATGTGTGTGTGTGCGTGTGTGTGTGTGTGTGTGTAAAAACGTTATGATCTGCAGAATGGAACATATGAGTAAACAAAGGCTGTTATTAAAATAAAAAAAATAATTATTTTATTTTATTTTTTTGCATACATTTGAATGTATAGTAATAATTTAAATATCTAATTATTTTTGCAGTACCATTTCATTTATTTAAATATTTAAAAGTTATGTATATAAGTTAATTAGAATTTAAGTAAATACTTTTTTGTTTAAGATAATCAAAAAACATTTAAAAAAAAAGTATACATTCATCTTATTCATACATCTTATTACAGCTTCCTTTTTACAAGAGTCAGAAATCAAATACATAGTTTTAAGTCTTCAAGGAAAATGCAAAAGAGAGGTTTACGCTTACAAAATTAACATCTATGTGTAAAATATTTAGCCAGGAAAAAATAGTGTTCAATATAAAAAAACGGGACTTTTATACTGGCGGTCAAAGGGCGGATGCGACAACGTCATCGACCTCCACATGGCACGTTTTCCGTTCACTGGGTTCTACCAAGTCCAGAAACGGGGGAGCTAGTATTTATCACATACCCAATAATTTATCTGCGCTAAAATATACACAAAAATAACAAAGTAAACAAAGCATAAGACAGTAATACTACTTTTATAGTATTATGCATGGCTTAGAATTAGTTATCTTTTGCTGGAATTCAAAGTTTGTTTACACGTGCTCCCTTACAGTGCAGAAAAATTAGGAATAAAGCGCCAAATCTGAAAACACGGACAGGAAGAAACACTCATATGTGAATGTTGTTAATGTAGGCTATATAACTACCTCTCATACAAAGTAAACAAAGCATAAGACAATAATACTACTTTTATAGTATTATGCATGGCTTAGAATGAGTTATCTTTTGCTGGAATTCAAAGTTTGTTTACACGTGCTCCCCTACAGTGCAGAAAGATTAGGAATAAAGCGCCAAATCTGAAAACACGGACAGGAAGAAACACTCATATGTGAATGTTGTTAATGTAGGCTATATAACTACCTCTCATCCACCCAGGTATGTCAAATACAGAACTGTAGGGAAGGGAATATTAATAGGGCATTTTGTTGTACTTGTAGGTTAATATTGTTTGCACAATTTTGCTCAAGAGAGTAATGAGCGCAAAAGAAATGGTTTGAACGCTTGCTGAATGCGTGTTATATCAAGACCACGTGAGCTGTCAAACAGCCGTGTCCTAAAACTTTCTTCTACGGTAGTTCTTGTATAATTATTATTCATGCAATTTTATGAGCTCAAATTAATTAAGAGAATGCATGAAACATTTGTGGTTTCATAAAATACTTTGTCAAGTGCAAAAAAAAAAAAAAGATTAAATGGGTTTTAAAAAAGGTGATAAAAAGTGTAAGGGTTATCATTATCTCTATAATGATTTATTTCTTCATTATATGTATTATATTTACTTGTTTTAATTGTGAGAGAAGTAATCTAATTTCGCTCTACTTGCATAATGTTTGAATCATGTCTTTTAAGTATTTTCAAAACGTAAAAATGTTGAGTAAATGTAATAGAAATTAAAATAGAAAACATCATGTAACTTTTTTAATTAATTTAATTCATACTTTTGTTTTGAATGAACATGAACTACAGATCAGTTAAGCATTATATAATTATTCATGATGTTCCCATCTTTATGAAAAACCTTGAAATATTTGGGATAAATTGTGTGAGGAAGTTTTCTAGTCAATATATCTTTCTAAAGTTGATTCATTCAATTACTTTTACAAAACCGGCTTGTCTAGTAATCACAAATGACTTGAAAGGTCATACATTTGTCAAAAGGTGTGGAAACCATGAATCAATCACTTAAAATAATTCAAGGTAACATTTTCCGTTATAAATTAATTTAAAATACATTAAAAACACTCTCCGTTTACTATGTGAGTGACGTGACATGTGGCCAAGTATGGCTCTGCATTTATCCCATCGAAAGTGCACACACACAGCAGTGAACACACACACACCGTGAACACACACCCGGAGCAGTGGGCAGCCATTTTTTGCTGCGGTGCCCGGGGAGCAGTTGGGGGTTCGGTGCCTTGCTCAAGGGCACCTCAGTCGTGGTATTGAAGGTGGGAGAGAGCACTGTACATTCACTCCCCCCACCTACAATCCCTGCCGGTACAAGACTCGAACCTGCAACCTTTGGGTTACGAGTCCGACTCTCTAACCATTAGGCCGCGACTTCCCCTTATGATACAATGAGTATGTAAGGTTTTGAAAAGATGAACTGCGATTTATGTACAGACCATCATCCACTGCTCTCTTGCAGAATACTTCATGTCTGAGTGATCCGGTTCAGTCTTCAGATGAACGTGATGCTCAGTCAGGATCAGGTGTCCTTCATAGGACTGGCGTTTGAGACTTATGTGATGGAGCACCACAAGAATGACATCCTCCAGATCTTCCAGGAGGCCAGTGAAGATGCTCACTATCCTGTTGTAGTGAATGCCATGACCTTATTCGAGGACAATATGGAGGTTGGAGAGTGTTTCAATGCGTTCCCCAGCCAGGTGCTGCCTGTATTTGACAATGCCCTGCACAGAGTAGCCCAGACCATATCTCAGTCTTCTTCCTCACCGCAGGAGAGTTTCAAACTCAAACACAATCTGCATGTTCGTATATCAGGTAAGCATGTATAAGAGCGTCCACTCTTTTACACTGACACCTGTATCAGGACTCAACAACCAATGATATGGTTTCAATTTGTGCAACTTCCAGACCAGCCTGACACAACAACCAATAACATAAACTTGGGGAGTCTTTGAAAAACCTGTTTGGGAAATAATTTTTTCTATTAGCTAGTGGTGCAGAAATTACACACTTAATCGTCAAATTATTTTGGGAAAAATACAAGGGGAAAAAAGTACAACATATTCCAAATCAACATTAAAAGAGGAGAAAATAGAGTAGAATAATAATAGGAAAAATAATCAGTAACACTTTACAATGACTATAATAACATTTTTATTATTCAGTTTTGTAAATGTATTATATTAATTTGTTTTAATTGTAAATAAAGTCATTTCTACTGTCAACTAATCTTGTTGAATCACATCTTTCATTAATTAGTTAAAAAAGATTTTTTCATTTATATATATAATTGCTGCCTTATAAAAATGCTTCTAAATTATCATGTATGTGTATATATATAAACTTTAGAAAATTGAGTTTTTAATAAATGTTAAATATATATAATGATTATATAATATTTAATTATTAAAGTTTATAATACCTCTTATTTATTATTTTCTAATCTAAACTAATCTCATTTGTACAATAAAGTTTGAATCAAATCTTTCATTTTAAAGTATCAAAACATAATTACAGGATTATTTCCTTATGTAAAATATCATTGTAGTCGATATACAACTATATACATATTTATAACTTTTAAATTTCAAAAACAGATCATTCAGATCAGTTAAGCATTATATAGTGTTTGGCATTAACCTGTTAGTGAAAAATATGTTACATTTATATTTTCATAAACTTAAACTTTTTTGTAACATAATTTTTTATAACTTTTTTCACTTCTACAATAATCTGCCAAGTGTCTTCTTTAAAAAGGGACCAACCTTAAGTCTATGCTCGAAGCATTCAAAATCTACAACAATTTAAGTTGGAAATGTCATTTTCAGGTCTATGCTCAAAAAGTGGAACCGACAGTTAACAGGTTAAAGTGTTACCGACTTGTCTGTCCAGGTACTGAGAGTAATGCTGTATGTATACTTCAGGATGTCTAGACTAGAGTATGTGCTATAAATATTGCAGCTCTAGCAAATGAAACTATTAGGCCTGTTTGTGCACAACAGTAAACAATTCCTCTATTTCCAATATGACATGTACCTCCCCGTGATCTCAAGTGGCTTGTGTATGGCTGACTGTTCTCTTTGTGTAACTGGTAGATCTGTGCTGCCATAAAGCCGCAGAGTGCCTCTGACTGCCTGTTTCATTTGCTCTTGAAGGCTTGCAGCCTATTAGTTTGTCAATGCAACACAGAGGCTGTTTCTCTCTACAGGCAATTAGACCCCAGCACACCGTGGCAGACAGCTCGTTTGTCCTGCCGCGAACCGTTATCTGTTATCAAGGTCGCTTCCTCTGATCTAGTGTCATATAACCTGCAGGATATGCTGATGTGTTTTTCTCTGTAACAACAGTCTCGTTACGCGTCGGGATGTTGGCTCGCTGTGAGAGGGAGCTGGAGGGAGATCAGATGAGGCTTTGTGTTGCTGGTCAGGTGTGAGTGCAAACACTGCATGATGTAACAACAAGAGGAGCAAGGGCTCTGCAGGAAGGGTATTGATCCGGATCTGAGGAGAGAGAGAGAGAGAGAGGGAGAGAGGGAGAGGACGTCAATGTGAGAGGTCAGACAGACACATGGGCTGTCAGAGGAAAGAACAGCTGAATGAGGCTTTAAAGGAATATTTCATGAAAATTCTCTCAGTATTTACTCGCCCTCATGTCGCTTCGAACTGCATGCTGTTATATGTTCTGTGGAACGTAAAAGGAGAATTTTTGAAGAAAAAATATGCAGAACTATGTGGTGTGAATGAATGAGACTTGTTGAGGAAACATTTCAAAGTGGTCAGACTAATAATTTACAATCAGACTTGTGCTTGGTGGCAGGGTTATTATCTTTAACTAAAAATAAAATACCTTTGTTGTACATTGAAGTAAAGCTGAAATAAAATATAAAATGGGAAATAGGACGTGGCCTTGGCAACTAACTGAAATAAGTTACATGAAAATTACTAAATGGAAATAAATAAAAACTGAACTAAAACAAAACATAAAATGAAATACTAAAATATAAAAAATAATGACAGTAATAAATAAAAAATACAAAAAATTAAACGAAAATTAAAATGAAAACAGAAAATATGAAAATAAATGCTATTTTAAAATAATAGTAATATAAGTAAGCACTATTAGTAAATATTATTACTATTATTAGTAATCCTAATGTTATTAGTAGTAATTATAACTATTAGTAAAAACTATTAGGAAGTAATAATTACAAATATTATTAGTATTATTAGTAATCCTACTATTATTAGTAGTAACTATAAATATTAGTAAATATTATCTGAAAAAACTATTAGTAAATATAAAATGTTAGTTAATATTTTACCAATAAATTAGCAATGTTACAACTAACATTACTAAACGCTAAAAGTACTAAAATGGACATAAATAAAAGCTAAATCTAAAATAAAAATAATTTAAAACTAAATACTAATATGTATAAAATGACAGCAATAATAAAAAAAATAGCAGCACAAAGAAAACCGAAAATATGAAAATAAATTATTCAAAAATATTTAAATATTGTAAGTAAATAGTAATTTCTAATCTCAACTAATATTATTGAATATCTTTCATTAAGTAGTTTCAAAACATAATTATTACATTTATATATAATTATTATTGCCTTATATGAAATGCGTATAAATTATGTAGTAATTGATAAATATTATTATATAATTATTATGTAGTATATAATTTATATGTTTATTTAATTATTAAAGTTATTTGTCAAACTTTCATTATTTAGAATTTAAGTGAATATTTTTTCCCTATTTATTAATTTCTAAACCTGCTAATCTTGTACAATAAAGCTTGAATCTTTTATTAAGTATTTACAAATTATACATATATATAATATGTATAATATAATATATAGAATTATTACCTTATAAAATAAATGATAAAAAAGAAAACCAAAAATATGAAAATAAATGCTATTTTAAAATATTTTTCAAAGAATATAAATAATACAAAAAATATAACATAAATGATTAAATGACTCTAATTTCATAATAATTTATATTCAGAGACTTTAGGTGAGACCGCTTTGACTTAAGCTAGTAAGCAACCACATAGCAATGCACTAAAAACTGTTCAAAACTCCTAACTAGCAATCACATAGCAACACCCTGGCATTGGGTTGTGGACTTTTGTATGGGCGAGGAGCACCACTCATGTAAATGAACCCATGTAAATGTTACCCGTCTCTAGATGGATGTAGCCAAGACTCTGACTGCTGTAGGGAGTGTGTCAGCAATAATCAGCTGACTGACCTTTCCTGTTCCCTTGATGTTTTATCCCGTTTGTGGACAAAGGAGAGTTATAAATAGCCCGAGTGCAGACTCCACTCATAGATCCAGCATGCTGTGAATATGAAAGGGGTCTGAAAATAGGACACACAGCCATAAAAAGCACACAGATCGTTGGCCATATCACGATGAACAAGCACGTCATGTGTCAGTGACACATGTGTCACATTTTTCAGTGATTATACAAGTACAAACTTTGAATACTGTTTGTGCTGCAAAAATTTAAATCAGAGATGCTGTTCCATTTAAAAAAAAAAAAAAATAGCTGATTCTAGCTACGGAAATAGTTCTCTCAGGAATTTTGTTTTGTGCTTTTAAAAAACTTTGTGTTCTTGTCTAATGAGGCAATATATTTGGGAAACACAATGGCCAAAATCCTTAAAATCAGTGCAGTTTTCACAAAGGTGCTTTTAATCAAAATCCTGATCATGAAAATTTCATGAATATTCAGTGTTTTGCCCAGCCCTAATCTTCTTATCTAAAAACAGCAGACTGACATAGAATGCAAGAGTGTGAAGATTGTTTTAGATGAGGTGTAGGCTTGTGTTTGATCCCTGAGGTATGTGGGATGGTCGTATTTCATTGTGGCGAAGCCAAGTGCTTTTCTCTCACGTCCTGCAGGAGATGATTGCCGTCACCTGTAATTACACGCTCTTCATCTGTAACCCTGCAGACGTGACTCATCCGAATAAACAGACTTTACTGAAACCCATTTTCTCCATAGCCACTGCAGTCTGTGTCTGTGGTTAGAGGGGAAAGAAGAAGTGAATGCAGTTTTATTGCCTAAGTAACTTTGACGTTTTTGATTCTTTCTTTTATGTTTTTCTATGATGCAACCATGCCGGCCCAGGTCATATTCAAATATTGAACACGCTCTGAGTTGATTCATTATGCAAGACAGTGCAAGAGACTGTAACTCTGCTTTTGAACTTTTAATGAATGAACATGCAGTGCCATCTAGCAGTAGGAGACAGAATTTCTCAAATAGGAGCCCTAGAATGCTGTGGTGGAATAACACTGACACCTGGGGCCCGTTCTTCGTACGTCGCTTATTACATCCGAGATTAAATGTCACATCCAAGATGATATAATCGCGCTAATAAGGTTAATTTGAAATAGTCAACAAAAAAGTCAATATTTGCTCACCCTCATGCTGTTCCAATTCAATATATGACTTTCTTTCATTACTACATGTTTTTAGGTTTACCTATGTGTCCCGAGCTGACCAGAGATCACATTCCTAAAGCTAGAGACGTGGGCCACTTCCTGTCCGTCACGGGCACGGTCATCCGCACCAGTGTGACTAAAGTGCTGGAGTATGAGAGAGACTACATGTGCAATAAATGCAGGAACGTGTTCTCCGTGCAGGCCTCTTTTGAGCAGTTTTACACCTTCACTCCACCCACCAGCTGCCCCAATGAGGAAGGATGTAATTCTTTCAAATTCACCTGCCTGTCAGGAAGTGACGCCCCTCCGGCCGCCTGCAAGGACTACCAGGAGATCAAAATCCAAGAGCAGGTGAGAAGTACAGTCACCCTGGAGCAACCTGGTGCTAAAGAAATAGTTCAGTTCGGCTTACTTCTTCCAAGATGGGGTTTGGCAGATGACGACTTTGAAACTTCCATAGTGTTTTTTAGGGATGCACCGATACCGATACTGGTATCGGTATCGGGCCCGATACTGGCCTCCTGTACTCGTACTCGTTAAAATGCCCCGATACCAAACGCCGATACCACAGCATGTGATAAGCGCCATATTCAAACAAAGAAACACTGACAACAGACAGCAGAAAGGAGTTATGGATGTCTACTACGAAGTATATGTATGCAATGAATATAACGTTAAACATTCAGTATTAACGCCTGTATAGCTGATGTGCGCGAGCTGATTAACAAAGCACGCTGAGTGGATTGAGCGCGCGGCGGCGCAGATGCTTTGGTTTCTGTACCCAATATTTAAAAAATGTACAAATGCAATAAAAATATCGGTATCGGGCGAGTACTGGAAAAAGTGGTATCGGTGCATCCCTAGTGTTTTTGTGTGTTTTGTGCATCACACATTCAACCAACGGTCTGTGGGCGTGATGTCCATGGCTGAGACTTTATGCCATGGGTTTAAAAAAAAAAAAAAAAAAGACATAAGGAAAATTATATTAAAAGTATATCAATTAACATAACATGCACTTTTACAAGTTGTTTGAACTGAAATGTGTGTTGGCAGTGTGTGTACACAACCACCCTATAATGATAAAGTTTTAAAATCCCCTTTCTCAATCCAGGCCGTTCTGAGATTCCTGTCAGAATGACGTAGTTCTGCACAGGCCCCTCCCACGATAGTTGATTGACAATGCCGTCTTACCTTAGACCCGCCCTGAGTGAGCTGTCCACCATTGTGTCGACTCTGGTGCAGGGGAGACAAGAATGTCTCCGATTAAGCGATTGAGGTGTTTTGTTGTTGGATGTAATAATGAACATAGCAGTCGTCATTTACTCGCGACATCTGAGCCGCTGAAGACGCACAAGATTAACGTTACTTTCGTTTTAGAAGGGAATGCGTCGATCCCCGATCTGCCTAAATATGTTTGTTCGCGCGAATCATTCGTGATCCAGCTTCATCTACAGAAGGAGTGAGTATAAAGGTTTTTTATGAATCTTTGCAAATCGCGGCTGAAGTTTACAGTCTGCTCGTCACCCCACGGAAGAGAGGGGCGGGGTCAGCAGAGCTCATTAGCATTTAAAGCAACATGGACTAAAACAGCTTGCGGAAAACAGCTGATTTTGACAGGGTAAAAAGGGTGTTTTTTACACTACCATTGAGACATTTTAACCATATAAAGTATGTTATAGATCTTTCATTAAGACCCTAAAGAATCATATCAACTTGTGGAAAATGGGCATCTGATGACCCCTTTAAAATAAAATAATATAATTATTAGTAATATAATATAATAATATAATTTAATTATATTTGATAAAATATAATTAAAATAAAACTAAACTCATTTTAAGTAAAATAATACGTAAATGTAATGTAAAAGCATCTACAAAAAAATTAAGAAAAAAGTATGTAAACTTCTTGACCAGTGCACCTTCACCAACAGGTACAGAAACTGTCAGTGGGCAGTATCCCTCGATCTATGCTCATCATCCTGGAGGATGATCTTGTGGACAGCTGCAAATCAGGTAAATGCTGTCCAGTCTGTATTTTATACATATATTTACTCGCTTAAATAATTTGACGGTGCAGGACTGATATCTGTATCACTCAATTACTCTGCCCAGTCCTGCACACCGTTAAAGTCTGCGTGAACCGGAAGTTGCTGCTGACTTTATTTCAGTGTAGTGAAGTATTTCCAGCTGAAATGAAATATTGAATAGAGGGCGTGGTTTAATTTTTGCACTCCTCCTCTCTGTCTCTCACTCATAGCAACCTAACGGTTGGAGGGGTGTGTTTAAGGATATTCTGCCCAAGCTGTCAAACTGACGTCATCAGAAGGAATGCCATTCCAGAGTGGAAGCAAATGTTCAGATTTTGATAAAAGATTACCAAGACAAAAAAAATGTTTTCAGCAGATAAATAATATAATAATAAAGTAAATAAAGTCAATTTTGATTTCATGGTGACTTTAATACTGTGTTGTACAAGACTGGCTTTATTAAGATTTTTTCATGAATGAAATCCGACATAAACTTCCTGTTGTTTTCAGTCATGTGCTTCAGTGCAATAACAATAACATTGTAAATAATCAGATTTGTTGTAGAATTTATTTATTTTAGATATGTTAAAAAAAAATTTAATTATATAAAATAAAAATTATATATATTTATATTATATAAGCATTTTTTGCATCATATTATGTGCAATTTGTAATCTTTTTTTTACTTCTATAATAATAGTAACATTCCTCAGGGCAACATCATGTGTCTTTTTCCCCTCATAATTTTCTCGCAGGCGATGACATCACAGTGTATGGAGTTGTGTGTCAGCGCTGGAAGCCGATGTTTCTGGATTGCCGCTGTGATGTGGAGATTGTGCTGAAAGCAAACTATATCGAGGTCAACAATGAGCAGTCCACCACAGCACTGGTGCTGGAAGACATTCAGAAGGAGTTTTGTTTTGGAGACGCTGTGTGTTTCATTGTGAAAGCGAAACTACTTTGTTTGGCCTTCCAAAAGAGGACACAACTAGACATCAGTGGTTAAGTTGTATTTACAACACTGTTCCAGAACAGTTCAAACCAAATATTCAGATGTGTGCAGCGCATTTTTACGGAGGACAAGGACTGTTTCCTGAGAGAGTAGACTACAATGCCAGTGTTCTGACAAATAATGCTGACTCACAGCCTGTAAGTACGTTTTCATATTTAAAGAATTTGCCACTGATGATGGTTGTGCCGATAGACGATAGCAAGACGATTTTTATTATTATTATCAGGCTAGTAATACTATCTAATTAATATTAGGGCTTATTTGTTAAGAAACAATAATGTGCAGTATGTGGAAAATAATGTGTTGTTTTAACCTTAAACCGCATAAACACATTTCATTACACCAAATACACAAAATAATGTTCTTTTTTAGCAACGTCATATAACCCCTTTAATACCATGTCTTCTCTGCATTTAAAAGATTTTTCTTATTGCTATACAAACTCAATTATAATCCCTGTAGAGGAAGTTCAGTTAATTTGGTGCATGAAACCGTGTTGTAATCTGTTGCCAGTGGTGTTTTCTGAGACACTATCACTGTTAGGTTACTATTGCTCATAGGGTTATTGGGTTAGGGATTTGAACAAATCCCTAACTGCAAGTATTAAACTTTGGCATGTAACTCATTCTGTATCGTTTGTGTTGCGAACATGAATAATACCTCAATCATGTGGCTTTTTGAGCAAAAGTGTTTTATTACTTTTCTAAACAGTCAAATGCATGATTTTCTCATTGATGTTAGAAAAAGTGGGGGGGAAACAAAGAGAACCACCTAGTAATGGCCTAGAACACCCTAGCAGCCAATCATAAAGTAAAACAGCTCATGGGATTCAGTGTGGGTTTATGAATCATAAAATCTGTCTTTCTTATTCTTTCTTTCTGTCTCTCTTTCTCTTGACATTCTGAAGGCAGGAATGAGATCTTGATGAGTCTTTGCCCTCAGGTGTTCGGCATGTACGTTGTCAAGCTGGCTGTTGCTATGGTTTTGGCAGGTGGGGTACAGAGAATAGATGTGTCTGGAACCAAGGTGAGAGGTATGCGTTCACATTCCACATAATGGGCAGTCTGACATTTAGACTTACCGTGATACAAAGTTCAGAGGTGTGCTTGAAAAGTGTACTGCTCTTGTGAATAGTTCTGACTCAAAGCATGCGCTCTGTTTAGGAGAGTCTCATCTGTTGCTCGTGGGCGATCCAGGCACTGGGAAGTCACAGTTTCTGAAGTACGCGGCTAAGATTACACCACGCTCTGTGCTTACTGCAGGAATCGGATCTACTAATGCAGGTTCCACGCGTTCTTCTGAACCTCACATCACCTTCTCATTAACGTTCACAATCAGCGCTCTAGGGGAATGTTCTTAATAGCATAACGGTATACTTTGCTTAAAGGGATAGTTCACTAAAAATTAAAATGGTCATCATTTACTCACCCTCATGTTGTTCCAGACCTGTATGAGTTTCTTTCTTCTGTTGTTTTTTCACTACTATGGAAGTCAATGGCTACCAGCAAATGTTGGCTACCAACATTGCTCAAAACATCTTTCATTTTCATCATAAGAAAGAAAGAAACTCATAGGTTTGAATCAACACGAGGGTATGTAAATGATGACAGAATTTTCATTTTTGAACTGTGGTATTTATACTGTGAACAACAGTATGCAGAATTTCTGTATGCACATTCAAGATGTGCAGTATACAACCAGAGCTAATATACTTTTATAAATAAGTTTAAATTATTACATTAAATCAAACAAATGTGATAGTAAAGACATTTATAATATTACAGAAGCTTTCTATTTCAAGTAAATGTTATTTTGAACTCTCTGAAGACTCATGAAAAAATTAACATGGTTTCCACAAAAACAATGATAATAAGAATACATTTTTGTTGAATACCAAATCAGCGTATTAGAATGATTTCTGAAAAAATCATGTGAAGACTGGAGACAATCACTGAAGACTGGAGCTGCTGAAAATTCAGCTTTGCATCACAGGAATAAATTGCATTTTAAAATATATTAAAGTAAATATAGCTGTTTTCAATTGCAATTATATTTCACATATTTTAGTGTATTTTTGATCAAATAAATGCAGCCTAGGTGGGCATAAAATTTTTTTTTTTTAAATATTTAAAAAATTGTGCCTACTCAAAACTTAGTGGTAGAGTATTTATGTAAATTAATATAAATAGTATAATTCTTCCTACTCAAACCCCTAAAATTTGAAGAAATAAAAGCTAAATAGAGCCAGAACCAAACTTTGTGTAGTACTGAGGTGGTGTGCAGTGTCTGATGTTTTTTTGTTTTTTTTGTCCACATCCTGTGAAGTTAAATATTGTTGTATACTTCAGATTGCTGCATACACATACTATTTTTGGCACATACTAGGCACTATTCACTTCTACTGTGCAATGAGCATTTAGTGCTGTTGCATCATTGTTTGTATCATTGTGAAATGCTGGTCAGGTCTGACAGTGGCGGCTGTTAAGGACTCTGGACAGTGGCATCTGGAGGCAGGAGCCCTCGTTCTCTCTGATGGAGGTCTGTGCTGCATCGATGAATTCAACAGCATCAAAGAACATGACCGCACCAGCATCCACGAGGCCATGGAGCAACAAACCATCAGTGTGGCCAAAGCCGGGTGAGTGCTTGGGGAAATAATGTCTTCTTGCATTTTTTTTAATTAACCAAAAGCTTGTGAGCATCACATTAAATGTCCCATGTTCCTCTTTTTTAGAATGGTGTGCAAACTGGACACAAGGACCACCATCCTGGCAGCTACAAACCCAAAGGGGCAGTATGACCCTAATGTCTCAGTTTCTGTGAACGTGGCCCTCGCCAGCCCCCTCCTGAGCCGCTTTGACCTCGTACTGGTTCTGCTGGATACTAAAAACCCAGAATGGGACAAAATAATCTCCTCCTTTATCCTGCAGAATAAAGGTTTGTCCCAAAGAAGAATCTTTTGTTTTGTGATATCAGGGTTTTTCAAAGTAGGTGCATATTATATTATTTTACATTTAAATTACATTACATTATATTATTTTGTGTTATACTATGAAGGGCAAAAGAGGAAATAAATATATGATATCTGAATATATATTTAGTCCAGAGAAAAATCTTTTGTTTTGTAATATCAGGAGTTTTCAAAGTAGTATTATATTATATATTATATTATATTATATTATGAAGGTTGAAAGAAGAAATAAATATATGAAATCTGAATATATATTTGGAAATCCTGAATATAAAGTTATAATTCTAAACATATAAACATAATTCCAAATATATATTTAGAACTATATATTTGGATGCACAATTTAAATTTTCAGGCTTATAACCATATATTTGGATTTACATAGCATTTTATGTAATTTATATAATTGTATAAAATATTTTAATTATTTTATTTATTAAAAGTAATATATTATATATTATTTTCCATAATATTCTTTGTAGAAATTCAAATATTTCCAATATAATATGTTACACATATCTATGATAATACTTTTTAAATAATTTTTTTGGGCCTTATACCTGCCTTTGCATTTCTAGGCCATCCCTACAAAATTTCCTTTTTTTTCCCCCCCTTCCTTTGAATCATGTCCTGGTTCCATGAATATATTTTTTGGCACATTTTTAACTTTATACCTGGCTCATATAGTGCATGTTTTTGTTGTACATGACATACAAAAAATTTAGTTTGTGAGGTGTCATCTGATGTGTTATTGGATCAGACGCTAATCAAGACTCTTAAGCCTTGTATAACACAGGAAGCAAACACCATCCTGAGCCGCTACTATCAGCTGCAGAGACAGAGCGACAGCCGTAACGCCGCCCGGACGACCATCCGCATGCTGGAGAGTCTCAGCCGCCTCGCCGAGGGTCAGATGCTCACATGCAGCATAATATCTGACGCCCATCTCATCAGAGTTGATGCTCATCTCTCTTTGTGTTTCAGCTCATGCCAGGCTGATGTTCAGAGAGACGGTGACAGTAGAGGACGCTGTTGTTGTGGTGTCTGTTATGGAGTGCTCCATGCAGGTTTGTTTATTACTACTTCATCATCCGGAAGCTATATTAAATTGTTGAGGACTGGATAAGCATATTTTTATGTTTGCTTCAGGGAGGCGCTCTACTTGGAAATGTGAATGCTCTACACACCTCTTTCCCTGACGACCCCTGTGAACAGTATAAAACACAGTGTGAGATTGTGCTTGAGAGACTGGGATTGACTGATATCCTACAGAAAGAACTGCAAAGACTTTCAAGGTAAAACTGAAATTATCAATTTAAAATACAATTTTATTTAATTTGTACTATAAATAAAAAGTATTATCAAATACAAAAGAGAATTGTATTAATATGTAATATTCATGGCATAATATGTATATGTTTAAATATAAAATAGTATTTAATATAATAATATAAATTATACTTATTATTTCGATTAATATGTAGTAAATATAAATATATTATAATAGTAAAATTAAGTTAATTTAATTTGTATTCATTTTAAATGTAATAATAATAATAATAATAATAATAAATTGATAGTAATAATACCATATATATATATACAGTATATATATAATTTTACCAGTTAGTATTATTAGTTTTTGTTTTAAAATACAGTTTTATACAATTGTATTTAATTAGTAATATGAATCAAACATTATCAAAAATAAAATGTATTATGTAATTTTGTAACCTGATTTTAATATATTCACTTCTATTAATAGTAAAATATAAAATGTCATTATTAAAATATGTATATATACGTTTTAATATGGAAACCCATTTCCGCCACTGAATAAAAAAAGTTTTTTTTCCTCGCAGTTGTGAGTTTACATCTCGCAATTCTGACTTTTTTTTCTCACAATTGCGAGTTTATATCTCGAAATTCTGAGAAAAAAGTCAGAATTGCGAGTTTGAATCTTGCAATTGTAACAAAAAAGTCAGAATTGTGAGATAAAAAGCAATTACCTTTTTTATTTTTTATTCAGTGGCGGAAACGGGCTTCCATATTTTACAGCACATAGAAAACTTGCCTAAAATTCAAAGCCCTTCAAAGATCTGAGATTCCTCCTAAGAACATCTTTTGTGCTCGTCTTTAGGCTAAATAGCAGAAGACCGGACTTCCCTAAAGGGACCGAACCACGTAGTGACCACACCAGCGAGCGTCCAACTGGTCAGAATCACAGTAATGGTGAGGTGACCACTGATTCAGACCCCAGCCTGGACTGGTTCCACTCCTTATCCAGCTCCGTCGTTCACACCTCCCCCGTCATTACCTCCACACAGAACGCCGCCACCACCACACTGGGCGGCACGGCGGTGTTACCTAGCAACAGCCGTTCCATACGCCGCAAGGGTTCTGCGTGGGAGAAGGATGAGGATCCATCCGTGGTTGAGGCTGTTGCGGAAAAGGGCTTCAAAAAGCTCAGAGCCAAACGGTTGAAAGAGATGAAAGCATCCCTCCTGCTGAGCGAGGAACGAGTTTTAGGAGAGACAGGCGACGATTTAGAGGAGATATTCTCCCACAGTACACCCAAAACGGGGAAGAAACCCTCAAAAAGAAAAAACACAACCATCAGTCCTCCTGACATCAGAGCCGAGAGCGGAGAGGATTTACGCAGCAAACTCACAAACTTCACATTCAAGCCCAGAGAGAGAATGACTCATGCCGATCAGTCGGTTGCGAAAGCGAGTGCCAAAGTGGCGGTGCATGAGGGAGCGAAACCTACCGCACCTCAGATGCCAGAAACACGGGCCGAAAGTGGGAATCGGTCAAGCTCACGTCGTCCAGCAGAGGGCAGCAGAGCTAATGAGAAACCCCAGCTAGGAACTAACAATAAAACCAAAGACGTTTCCTCTCAGGTCTTGAATGATGTGAGCACAGCTCAGAAAGGGACGTCTGAGGACACTGAACATCAACAACAGCTGCTGTCCAGACTCAACAGCCACTCTCCAGGTGAGAATAATGGCAACACTAATAAACACCCACAATCCCCACCAAGGACAGACCACCCAAAGGTGAAGGTGGCCAGTTCAACTCTGGCCAAACTTTCTAGATTCTCTTTTACGGGCTCATCTGAGGAAAACACTGGTGATAAAACAGTCCCAGCTACACACGGCAGTACAAACAAAGTGCCAGCAAACCCGCTTTCTGAAGACCAGGAGAACACAAGCACACAGACCAGGAAAAATATAACCACAGATGCGAAGGCCACCACTATGCAGACAGGCAACATGAGGACAGAGCCCTCCGACAGACAGGAAGAAGCCGGAGAGAACGCTACAAAGAAGAGGAGATGTTTTGAGTTGGGCTCCGGAGGCCCCGCAGGACTCCTCAAAGGTTTATCACTGTTTGGCTCGTCTGTCATAGACGATGAAGATCTAGATGCTGACTGGATCTGATGCAGCAGGAGACGTTTGTCATGTGTATTAGCAGTATATGTATTTTTTGTGTTTATTTGTTCATTTAAATGCAGTGTGATGTGTTTTAATGGCTAAACAGATTCTGATGTCACAGTAAAAAGAGTCAATTTGCACTTTTGTTTTCGTTTAGTAAATATCAGTTACATTTTTATGTCTGGTTTTGTTTTCTCAGTAACTCAGTTTATATAGTTACATTCATATGTATATACCCCATGCAGTTTTTTACATGCAAGGTTACATACCCCTCAGTTTTTTTTTTAAAGTTGTTTAAGTTATGTTTGTTTTTAAATGGTTTTATGGAAGCCCGTTTCCGCCACTGAATACAAAATAAAAAAAGGTAGTTGCGACTTTTTATCTCATAATTTTGACTTTTGTTTCTCATAATTTTTACATCTCGCAATTCTGACTTTTTCTCTCAGAATTGCGGGTTGGCTTTTTTTCCCTCAGAATTGCGTGATATAAACTTGCAATTGCAAGTTATAAAGCCAAAGTTGCGATATATAAAGTTGCGCCATATAAACTCACAATTCTGACTTTTTTCTCAGAATTTTGAGAAATAAACTTGCAGTTGCGAGTTTTAACTCCAATTCTGAGGGGGGAAAAGACTGATATTTTCTCAGAATTGCAAGTTTTTACGTTTGCATGTTAAGTCAAAATTGTGAGATATAAAGTCAGAATTGTGTAAAATCGTAATTGCGAGAAAAACCCCCTCAGAATTGCGTGTTTATATTACGCAATTTAGACTTTATAACAATTTGGACTTTTTTTTGCAATTGCAATTTTTACATCTCCCAATTCTGACACTTTTTCTCAGAATTGCATGATATAAACTTGCAATTCTGAGAAAAAAGTCAGAATTACAAGTTTATATCTTACAATTCTGACTTTATAACTCATAATTGTGAGTTTGTCACACAATTCTGAGAAAAAAAGTCAGAATTTGGAGATTTTAAATCGCAAATGAGAGAAAAAAAAGTCAGAATTGAGAGATAAAAAGTAGCAGTTACTTTTTTATCTTTATTTAGTGGTGGAAATGGGCTTCAACTAAAAAAACAACAACAAATAATACTAAATAAAAGGCCAAATGCTATTTTCAGCATTGCTCTTGTTTTAAATGATAAACATCTCACTTGTTTTGCAAGAGATTCTTAAACATTTGAGCCAGGGGCGGACTTACCAATTAGGCAAAGGTAGGCGACCGCCTTGGGCCCCCAAAAGCCAAGGGCCCCCTAAAATGCTTTTCATATAGGATATGCGCATTAAGCGCTGACACGCGAACGGTTGCTGCTTATGGTGTTTGTTACCACGACAACCGTCCGAGTCACTTTCATGAGATCGGGTTAGCCTACAACAATTAATTTGTTGACTATTTCACAAATGGGAATACAATGAATTCATTACAATGTTTACATTCAAGCTACCCGTAAAATTTATAGTGAAAAGTACTTTAAAAGCGTCTGAAATGCAATAAAGTAATTTTAAAGCTGTTTTTAAAGCATTTGCTGCATGGATAAAAAAATAGGCTAATAAATAATTCACATATCATACAAAATTGCGTTGCAGCAAATCCTTTAAATTTTAAGGTATTCAGAACAGAGCAACATCAAAATCAGAAAATATAAGCAGCTATAGGCTACAGTTATGTATAGGGCCCCATTCCTATATTTTGCCTGGGGCCCCCAATTCACTAAATCCGCCCCTGATTTGAGCAGAACTGCACATTAAAAAGCACCATTCTACACTAGCATCTCCCCCCTAGTCCACTTACACTGATAATCAAGGTTATGTACCAAAACCTTAAGTTTAATTTTACAAGACAATTTTTCTTTCTTCCTCTGACCCTTAGAATCAAACATACTGTTTTTGCTACGTCACCTTTAAGATTTCTATAGTTAAATCACCTCTGTTATGATTGCTGAATACCGAAAAGGTTGTAAACAACTGGGCGGTCATGTTCATTTCCACATGGTTCTGACCTCATAACCATGATGATTATGAATGACCCTTTTTTGCAGCTTATTTTTGAAAATGGTTTGTGTGTACAAGGGAGCTCTAAATTAGTCTTTAGTTAAAAAAAAAAAAAAAAAAAAAATCCTTTTCTCGCTTTAAGTAAACAGCCAATTCTAAACGTATAGTAAAACAGTGCAAGATAATGGAGCCAGTTAATTTAACAACCTAATAGAGCATGTTTAAGCGATTTGTTGTTCAACAATAGTGTACTCGCCCAGCAAAAATAAAGCCAGGCTAAAGGTGCCTTTCAGCCCATGCAAAGCCAAATAACCATTAAAACAGATGCTTTAATGCTTAGTGGATGCTGTAAGAGATGTTTTCAGGCTTGGAACAATTTACCCCTTGGGAGCAATAAATGACACCATGGTGAAGAGGTGTTGTCTATTGTCATAACGAATTGCATTCCATTGGGAGTTTAGGGATGAAGGTACTGCAGTAGGTGATAATAGGATCATACAGGATCTGCTGCTGTCCCCAAGGTCAAAATCGTGGATTAAGATGGTTAAGTCAAGCACATTTCACTTGTTTGTCATTCAAACCTCTTTAACAGCAAGCAATTCCACCTACTTTGTTTATTGCTGTTTTAAAAGGAAATTCGTCTTCTTTTTAGGCTCTTGTCTATAAGGTTATCGGTGTGTGTGAGAATGTATATGTATTTGTATACACCTAGTAATGCTGTATTTGTTCTTGAAATAAGGACATGCTTTTATTGATGCATGTGTTAATATGTGACTATAATAAGCTTCTGTTTTGTCTTGAAGCAGTTGTAAGATCATTTCCATTGACTGGCTGAGTTACTAGTGAAGTCTAACCTTCTGTTGGAGAGGGTCAAGGTCTGTACAGCTTCAGTATTCGTCTCAGAGGAGAACTGCGGTAAAGGGAGGCTGAAGGTAAGATGAGACGTTAATGGATCCTAAACTTCCTGCAGATGGATCACTGGCCTTATCAATAATGAAGCGTTATTGATTTAATGTCTCTGAATGTGCCACCAAGGATACCCAAACTCACCATTACATCATTCATTTGGCATCTTACAGCGTTTTAGAGGATTGAATTTGGGACTTTGTCATTTTAAAGCTTTTTCGCAGCAAATTTGAATCATTTTAGTCTGGACTCTATGGTGAGGTCTGATAGATAGATATCTACAGTTTGTATAGTTACAAGTTTTCGTATTCCTTAACATTTTTTACAATTCTTTTTTTTTTTTTCAATTCTTCAAATTTTTGTTACATTTTTTAAAGGTTGTTATATATAACTATATAAACAATAGATAGATGCCAACATATAGCAACATATAACATATGCAATTTTACATATTCACATTTTTTTATTTTACAGAATTTCACGTCTCTTACAAAATTACATTTACAAGTTGCATTGACGTTTTTCTAAGGTTTTATCTATTTATTATCAGTCAAAAAGAAGTTACTGTTTAAATGTAGCCTAACTATATAACTAATAGATATATAGTTTATATAGTTACATACAAGTTAACACACACAAACACGCACACGTTTAAATACACTTACAAAAGTTGAGTTTAGTTTTTTCAAAAGGTTTTTATCAATTTATCATCAAAATTACAAGTTTACAGTTTTTATCGGACTAACTTAAAATGTATCAAAAGTTTCTGTTTATATGTACCTATAGAGATGGATGGATGGATGGATGTTTTAACTTTGTTAACCCACATAAATGCCACTTGTTTTAGCAGAGAATGTAATGCAGTTGTCCAGAGAACTTAATGCGATTGTAATTGAAAATTCTAGTCAAAAGCCTTTTGGTCTTTAGGTCAGAAGGCGTAAAGCTTTCAGTTTCCCCATCAGATTGTTTTGACAATTTTGAAAGCCTTGCATGTGTCATGTCAGAACCATATGCCGGAGTGGTTTTGGTGTCTTGAGTGAACATTTGAGCCACTGCACATCTAAAGGAGCACCTTTCGTTAAACTCTATTCTGTTCTATTCAGCAGAGTTGGAGTTTTGTTTGGCAGGACCTGGGATTTTCCTTTTAGGCTTGAGCTATAACACTCTTCTTTTAGGGTAAGCATGGAAATCTTTGAGAAACAGTCATTTATGCTGCAAGCTGTAATTCCATAAAGCTTAATAAAGAAGAAAGTGAGTTGTTTGGTTCAGGTAATACAGGCATTATGCTCTTCTTCTGTTGCACAGGATCATATGAACTGGACAGAACAGAACGTGTTGCTCTGACAGTTGGGGTGTAGCTCGATTACATAAACCCAGAGGTGTAATATGAATGTTGTTTTTGCAACTCTTCACCTGGAACGCTTCAGGGGAAAAAAACATCAATCACTGCGAATAGCAGGTTTATGGAAGTTGTCATGGAGCAAACTCTATCTGCTTTAGAAAAAGCTAGTTTGCTCTATTTTTGTGATAAATAGAAGTATGTTTTTGACATGACAGGCATGCATTTGACACATTAAATGTGTGTAAAGTTGGGCAACACATCCTCTTCTGCATGGTCAGCCATCGCCTGCTAACTGGAAAGAAAATTGCTGATCAAGAAACACTGACTAACACGTTAGCAAGTTTGTGAAATTTGCAACATCCTTCTGAGTGTCTCAACAGTGTTAGGAAAAATGAACTCATAAATGAAAGTTCTGTTATTAGTTACTAACAGCATAAAACTGTGTTTTCCAAACGTTTTGAAGAATCTTTATACAGTTTATAGCTGCAAAAATAGCAAATTTGTCCAATTTTTTTTTTTTAGTTTGTCACTCTTCTTGGTTACCAAGAGCTGTAAAGCAATTCTTGATAAAGGTATGCCTTTGAGATCCAATGAAAGAAAATCTGGGGCCCTATGAATTGAGTGATGCAGAAAACGTGGAACTGTTTTCCAAACGTTTTGAAGAATCTTTATACAGTTTATAGCTGCAAAAATAGCAAATTTGTCAAATTTTTTTTTTTAGTTTGTCACTCTTCTTGGTTACCAAGAGCTGTAAAGCAATTCTTGATAAAGGTATTCCTTTGAGCTCCAATGAAAGAAAATCTGGGGCCCTATGAATTCAGTGATGCAGAAAACGTGGATGGAATCACGGAATCCAGTCATAAAAAAACGGAATTTACTGTTTAAGGCGGAATTTGCCATATTTTGGATGAATAAATTAAAAGTAGGTCAGTACACTTAAATCAGA